ATATGCATTCTCGATTCAAGGTTGTCTTCTCGCCTACAGCCACCATGCGTGTGTGACCAAGATTCCTTTTCAGACTACTCACGATTGCCTAGTCAAGATTTATTGAGTGACTCAAGATCGTTACAATCTTGGATCATGAGAGATTCAAGACTAGTCACCAGTGCTTTATGATGCATGAAGCCAGCTGCAGGGAGCTTTCTCAGAATTTGATTCTAGGTCATTAATGTCTTGTTTCTTGATCGACTCGCACCCAACGGTAATCAAATGTTTGAGGCTTCGCCCAATGCTGGCATGGATCGGAGGTGGGAAGTTAGTACAGAGGAGTCCGTGCGGAATCTTGAAGCAGCAATGTGGTGATTGCTGATGACCACGCCGCCGCGTGATCGTGCGGTTAATTCGAAGAACTCCAAGATTCACCGAAAGATGACTTGACACATGGCCAAGCCGCACATATTGAGCCGCCAGTCTGTGTGCTGGGCATGAGCTACGCATGCATGCATGCATGCATGCACGGAGCTGCGCAAGAGCCGTATCTCATACGCTAGCGTCCCAGTGTGGGGCTGTTCGACATCTCGAAGAGATCACGTCGCTCTCGCGACCAGTCTTAATTGCATATCCATCCAAGCATACGTGGAACACAGCATTATTAGCCTGCCGTGCTCGACACATCGTCCCTATGGTGAAGTTATCACATGCGTCTCGGCGGTCACGTGGAGACGCCCGAGCCCTCTTTTTTATCCTGATGGATTGGAAGGTTCTGCCAGGACGCGCTGTGAAGTCAAAAGTTAGGTTGCGCGCGCGCGGGCTACGCGTTAGCTCTGACTTCAGGTCAACGTTCGTGATTCACATATGCCCGCGACACGGTGTGGAAGTTGCATGGTTGTTCGCGCAGCCACGTCCCATCGATCATGAGCACGACCCAGCAAGGTGCTGCAGCTGCTCGACAAATGTCCACACATCGATTCACGCTCCCGATCCTTTATTACGCGATGCCTGGCTGTCATGGCGCCACAGCACTTGATGCTGATGGCGACCATGCCGTCGCATCCGCCACTCCAAAGCCACTCACGAAAGATGGTGGCTGGAACGAAGACATTTGCCTGGTCAACACGGTGGACATATGCAGCACAGCAACAGCCACGCGTCGGCCCTTCGCTTGAGGTCCATCCCATGCAAGCCAGGGCATGAGAACACGCAAGAAACGCCGGGAACAGCGGACCAACGATACAGACATTGCTCGACCTGGAGACCAGAAAAGTGTGTCTACCTATACAGCTGATGTCTGTTTGTTGCATGTCCTCGCTGGCCGCTCACCAGCGGCGCATCTTGAAAGGCACGGCGGCCGGCGACCACGCATGTTGTGCATCGAGAGCTGCCAATCGTGAATGGGCTGCTCATCCTTGTCTCAGATCTGCTGATGAACAGATGCGTCGACGCTACGGGGCAGCTCTGGTCAGAGTACTGTTCTGTACATACCTACAGTAATTAGGTCAGATAGCGCTGTGCCAGCGGCTGCCGTGGTACATATACATGATGTGGAGTGAATTGAGGCGGACCAATTAAGCAGCACAACCGCGTGGGGCATGCAGCCAGCCCTGAATGCGTATCTTGGCGGAGTCCGAACATGAGGGCTCCGCTGTTGCTCACGTACTTGTGCTGGGTTGCCAATCCACATTCGTGAGCAGTTAGACACTCGTACAAAGCAACGCTTTGCAGGTGTGCGCAGCTTATCATCACTGCATCGTGATGCACGCGCGGACAGCCCGGAGAGCATGCAAAGACTACTCGCGCGGCGTATGAGACAATACGCGGCTTCTTCGGCGTCCGCGGCTCCTTGCTCTCTCGCTCTCGTCGCTCTCTGCAGCTGCCAGGCAACTGTCGACCGTCAAACGCAAGTCACGAGTGCGCCACGCTAGTGCACGGATCGACGGCACAGCGAAGCTTCTCGATTCCTTCTCCGCTCCGCTCCGTTGCAGCTGCTGCTGACTTCGTTTGTCAAGGACCCGGAACAGCCACGCACGAGCATCGCACGACCGCCATGCGATGCGGTGCGTAGTCGACAATCGTGACTCAACGGCCATTCAAAATTGATCGAGTGTGCTTTGTGCATGGACGTCGGCGCGTCGCTGTACTATATACTGATAATAATCTGGCCGTTCGACTCATGGCTGATATGCGTGCATTCACATTGAGCGTCTTGATAATTTGCTGCTGCCGCTTCATCAGCTGCGAGTCAGAATAAGATCAATGGGAGGGGACACCAGGCCTTCTCTTATTGTCGTCTTGTGAGTAGCTGGATCAGCAATCAATTTGCTCGGTCTCAGATCAGTCTAATTCAACGGCGCGAAATGCCTTCGCAAACTGAAGCCTTCACAGCATGCACCCAGGCGCGCGGATCAGGCAGGTCTTTCATGCACGTCGAGGGCGCAGCCGCAGCGAAGCTGCGATACCGAGATACAGCATTCGCGTGCTTAAGCTTTCTATGCCAGCGACAGCTACCCACGCATCAGACTACCTATATGTATGTATATAGATATATGGTATGTATATTTGACTTTCAAGGAGCTATAGACGGCTCGAAGCCACGCGGCACGCCTGACACCCATCATGCACGGCCGGCTTGCATGTCACATGCGCTTCGACGACGGTATCCCTGCTGGTCACGCTGGTAGGTCGATGCGCTTGCGGGAGCGACGCAAACCTTGATCGCCATCCACACATCTAGATGTCATGCAGCACGCAAAGGCAGACCAGACAAGGAAGCCCTGTGGTGAGAGCTGGGCTGCCACAATTGACTCTCGACGCCGCCTTGTTTCCCGCGAACAGATCCGTGGATGGCACATGCTGTTGTGTACCGGTACGGTCTTGGGGCGCTTAGCTGGCTGGTGCGCGGCCGCTTGCTGGCAAACATGCACGTAGCTGCACATGAGGGCCGGATGTGCTTGTGTGTAAGGGCGCTAACGGCGCAAAGTCAATTGAGGGCCAGCAAGAGAACCATGCTGCACAGCGCTTGCTCTACATCAATCTCGAGAACGCGCGACTTTAATTCATCATTCACATTGCCGCGCCGCGCTCAAACAGTCACGCAGTACCGCGATCATTCACGCAGAAAGCTACGCGCTGAAGCTGCTTGCGTGTGTTCCTACCGCGGAGCCTGCTGTATGCTGCTGCTGCATGCGCTGCTACTGGAGTAGATGAGTATGCCGCTCTAGGCACGCCCGAATATGAATGAGCTTGCAGCTCCGCGCCCATTTGCCTGCCTGCCTTTCGGGCGTTCTGATCTTCTGAGACGCTTTACAAACGCAGGCTAGCTGTTGCTGCTGCTGCCTATGCTGCTTATTGGTGCAGCTTGCTGCTAGCTGTGGCATAGGAACAGCAAGACTGTGACTGTCATGTCACAGTAGCTATCTCGCGCAATGCTCACGCATCGCAGCTAAAACCTCATTTGTCTTCTCCCCCACATTTCGTCCAAAATCTTCATTCTCGCTTGGAGCGTGGCCATTCAATTAGCTCTTACTCGCTGCTGCTGGCTTCGATCAAGCGGCCAAGTACCAGCTGCTGCTTTGCCTCGAGTGAGTCTGCAGAACGCGGTCATCTGGAGTTCGACCGAGCCCCGTGCCCGCACCCGGCTTCCACGCCGAACCTCGCACTGCACCGGCTTTGAGCTCACTTACTTCCACCACTTCTCTGATTGCCGTTTGTCCTACAGCTTTCACTTCGATCCAGCCCGGCGCATTCAGTTGAGATATCGAGTAGCAATTTCAACCACTTCGGCTCGCTGCTTTCGACTCGCGTAACCTACATTCTGGTCGACGACCCAGCCTTGCGACGACCTTCGCTTTTTTCACGCCCTCACGACATTCACCATTGAACACACGCTTGAGACACGACCGGCGAGCGCTGTTCCTCTAGCTTCGCCAGTCTCCGAATCGCGTGCGAGCCCCCTTTGAACGACTGCTGCTTCCTCGCACTGGAGACCCCGTCTGTTTTGTTCCTCTGGTTCAAACTTCGGGCGCTCTCAAGCTCGGTGTCGGTCTCAGCCTTCGCATTCTACAGGTAGCTTGGCGGCAGGACCGAGCTCTTCACGCAGTCGCGTGCAGGTCGGCTGGCCACAAGTTGTGCCCCCCTTTTGGCGCCCAACATAGCGAGGTCTTCAAAGCCTACCACAAGGCGACCGAGATCTCTACGCCTTGCCCATGTGAGTGACCAATTCCATTATAAGCGCAACCTAGGGTTGGCGGTGGTAGCTGGAGACTACGCAAGAGGGAGGGATAACAAGTCGTTTGTGGCGCGCCTTTACCCGGCTTCGCCGCGCAAGGCCAGCCCACCCTATGACTTTGCGGGCGGCAAGTGCACTAATGTGGAGCCGCGGAGCAGAAGCCTCCTGCCTAGACCGCAAGGGCTACGCGATGGTGGGTCTGCTCCCTGCAAATTGGAGCCAAGTACATATGCTGGGCGCCGTGTCGCCCGACTAAGGGCTTGCTCGATGCATTTGAGCGTGCGAGGCGCCTTCGTCACGTCGACGCCAATGGCGCTGGCGCGACGGCCGACATCGGCGGCGTGTTCCGCCGTTGACGCCGAGGCACCATGGTTGATTGAAGGCGGGCAGACCTGGGGTTTTGGCGCCCATCCATCAGCCGTGCGGGTCCTGGCGAAGGCCGTAAGCTAGCACAGTTGTCTAGGCAGAAGGGCGCCATGGCAAAGACTGTGCCTGTTCATAGCATCGCTCGAAGGACCGTGATTCGCAGTCATAAAGGGGCACTTTCTTCAATGCTTTGTCCCGGACCCAATTTCCTCAGGTTCTGTTGTATCGGTCTGCCACATCTCTGACGCTACCATCTTACTCTCCCGCTCCTACTTGTTATCCCCATCGCACTCGCACTCGTACCCGTCCCAACGTTCGACCCCTCTGGCTGGTCAATCCTCATCGACTTGGCCTACTCCGGCCGGCGACATTCGACTGCCGCATCACATCGCATCGACACCTCATCCTCCTGTTCGCGCTCTCACCCGTCATCTGACGGATCTGGTCGCCGCTCTTGGTCGGCTCACCGCGTCAATCTTGTGCGCGCCTGTGCGCGGGCGATCTTGATCGCATCGACGTACCATTGCTATCTTCACGTCGCCAAACACCGTATCTGACCCTTGGCCGCTGCATGCGACTGAATCGCTTCCTCGCACCCTATCCCGGTCCAACTTGACTACGCACGAATCGCTTGGACGGCTCTCTCTCGCTACTGTCCGCTGTTCACTTGCGCGTCCATCTCACGCCATCCCTACGCGCCAATCGAAAACGGATCGCGTGTCTTCATCTTGGTTCTGACATTTACACTGCGTTGCAAACTGACCATCATCGCACCAATCTCGCTCGCCATGTCTACGACGATCGCATCGCACGCCAACATCACTGACAACGTGATCATTACTCTCAATGGCCCTGACTTGGACGATCTATCGCCACAAAGTCTGATCATTGGTGACCTGGACACGCCTTCAATTACTCTAAGCCCGAGCCAGGACTCGACTGCGACTTCGGACACTGACGTCGACTCGATTGACTGGGCTAGCTCCAACTCCGCGCCAAGTTTTCGCAGCGAACGATCAAATTCCTCGTCAAGCACCTGCTCAGCTCAAGCAGCTGGCCTTCGTCTCGCAGCCATCCTTCGGGCAGCAAGTGCCCAGGCAAAAGGACATTTTTTGGTCACGAACAGCAACCTATCTAGGTCTTCCCACCTGAAAGCTTCAGCGAAGCCTCCGCGCGATCCGACCTTTACGGACGTCTTCAGCGCCCTGGAAGCTACTTATCTCAATCCTCAACCTGGCTCTCTGCCAATCGCACAATCCCGATCTACACTCTTCGCTTCCAATCCTCATCTCGTCAAGATGATGAAGCGCACGAGCTCCCAGTCTTACGAAGGCACGCCTTCGCTGCATGGAGGGAACGGCAACTCGAACGGTACTGGGTCCATCGGCGCTTTAGATGCGGCCATCGAGCAGAGTGGTGGAGCTCTACCCCCGTCTCTCGCAGATGGTATCAGCAAGAAAGCTCGATTTGTGTCGGAAGGAAACATACCACCTTTCCCTTTCAGCTTGCCCGCCTCTGCCCCGGCCCAGCACTCGTACGGCAGCACCGGCAGGCCTAGCTCACTCTCTCAAAGCGCTCTGGCGCCCGCAATACCAGTCCAAGATCCGTCTCCCAATCTGTCGAGTGCCAACCTGTACGGTGGTCTCGCCCAACAGCAGAGTCAAATTGGCGGACAGAGATCCTTCTCGAGCGGGATCATGGGCACCTCCAGTGGTGGTCAGATTGGTGGCATGCCTGCCTCTACCTCACCATTCGTGCATCACAGTGCTCATGCAAACCCGTACGCACCACCACCTCTTCAGATACACAACAACAATGCAATGATCGGAGGCACGGGTGCAAACGCTGGCTTCAGCCCGCTTAGCCCTGGTCCTCAATCGGTACCATACATGGTCAACCTTACACAGGAACAGCAGCAGCAGCAACACCAGCAAGGTAGTGGCCAGACCCCATTGAGCGGTCTCAGTGGTATGAGTGCGATCTACCCCAACTTCTCGCCAGCCGCATTCGGAGCAAGTCCCATGGGCTTGAGTGCATTCATGCCGGGCTTGCTATCCGCACCCCCTCAGGTGAGTTGCCAGTCTGCGCTATCGGACACAAAGGATTTGAACCCTGCTCACACTCTGATGTGCCTCCGGTCCCAACGCAGGGTAACGCGACTGGACGGACGGTATACGTCGGGAATCTTCCAGCAGAAGCTTCAGTCGATGAGTTGCTCAATCAAGTCAAGTTCGGACCCATCGAGAACGTGCGCGTGCTACCAGAAAAGAATTGCGCATTCATCTCGTTTCTAGACGGAGGCACAGCTGCAGCTTTCCACGCCGACGCATCGGTCAAGAAAATGTCTTTGCACAATCAGGAGCTCAAGATTGGGTGGGGCAAACCTTCACCGTGCCCTACCAATGTTGCCATGGCTGTGCAAGCCAATCAAGCCACGCGCAATGTGTACCTGGGACAGCTGGAGGAAAGTGTCACGGAGCAGTCTTTGCGAGACGATCTTGCTCGATTCGGTCCCATCGATCAGGTCAAAATCGTGCGCGACAAGAATATAGGCTTTGTCCACTTCTTGAGCATCACGACTGCCATCAAAGTGGTCTCGACTCTCCCAACAGAACCGGCTTGGGCGGACAAGCGAGTCAATTACGGCAAAGACAGGTGCGCATACGTACCTCGCAGTCAGCAGCAGAACCAAGCGCACAATAGTCAAGCCGCAGCGATGGGCATGGCGGCCGCAGCGTCGCTCGGCTACCCGACAGCATTCACTCCAGCCACTGGCGCCTTCAACGTGCCTGGTTTCGCTGCGCTCGGCCCTGCCAGTGCTCCTGCTGGGCTCGGCTTCCCTAGTGGTCTCGCTGGAGCGCAAGGCGGAGATCCAGATGCTCTTGGCCGTTCACCGAGCGGCTCTGGCGGACCTGCCCCTTCGGCACTCTCACAGATGGGCAATCGAACGGTCTACCTCGGCAACATCCACCCTGATACAACCACAGAAGAAATTTGCAACCATATCCGAGGCGGTATCCTGCAGAATGTCAGATTTATCCCAGAGAAGCACATCGCTTTCGTGACATTCGTCGACGCGAACGCAGCTCTGGCTTTCTACCACCTAGCGTCTTTCTCTGGGATCATGATTCACAACAGACGACTCAAGATCGGCTGGGGCAAGCACTCTGGACCCTTGAGCCCTGCAATCGCAATGGCCGTGCAGGCAGGAGGCAGTCGCAATGTCTACGTTGGCAACATCGAGAATCCGGACGTGCTCACGGCGGAGAAGCTGCGAAAAGACTTTGGAGAGTATGGAGACATCGAACTGGTCAACAGCCTTCGGGAGAAGAATTGCGCCTTTGTCAACTTCTGCAACATCCAGAACGCCATCAAGGCCATCGAGGCAATGAAGAATCACGCAGACTACAGCGACGTTCGCATTGCATACGGCAAAGATCGCTGCGGCAATCCACCGCGCAGTGTCAGCCAGTCGTTGCAGAACAGAAAGGGTAGCGGATCCATGTCGCCAAATGCTGCTACGAGCGCGGAGGATGCGACCGCTGCGGCGGCAGCGGCGGCAGCGGAAGTAGCCGCGAAAGTTGCAGCAGCACAGAGCGCTGCTGCCGCACAGCCAGCAGATGGCGCCACGTTGGACCTCTCATCTGTCGCTGGTGCTGTGGCCAATGCGGACGACGCGGACGACGTGACCGTCCCTTTGGTACCCTGAGCACGCTACGACAGGGTTTCAAGATGAGCTGAACTGCTGTTGGTTGCCAGGGAGGTTATACGTCTATGCAGCCCTGTGTCGTTTCTGCTTTGCTTGTAGAGCCTAAAGCCCGCTTGCTTCGCTCGTCACTGCCCTCCTTGCATCTGCACTTGGCATGTATCGTGTGACCTTCCCCCCCCCCCTCTCTCTCTCTCTCTCAAGCCACCTAACGACATCTTACGCGACTCAGACCTCTTTCCTTACCACTACTGCTCTGCGATTTCCATCCTCAAAACGAATCTCAGGCTTTCCCCCCTTTCCCCTAAACCTCGATACCAGGAATGAGAGACAGATGTGAAAGTATCCTTCACACTTCATCGTTCTCTTGGCCGTTGGCAATGCGATCTTGTCGGCGTGAGTTATCGCACAAGAATGCTTCGGGCCTCACAGACCCGCAAACCTACGCTTTTGCTATAGGGATCAGGCCTCCTCTGGCTTCACCTGAAGAGGCGCAGCTTAAAATCTTTTCAAAGGCGCTCGCAAGTGCTTTAGCGTTCCCGGCAAGGACGAACCACGTGCACAACTACAATTCGGCAGGGTGGGGATCGAGCGACAAAAGTCGTGAAAGCAATTTCATTTTGTGTTGAGTGTATGCGAAGACTAAGAGAGGGCCACGGTAACAGCGAAGAATTAGAGGCAAGGTGAGGGCCGATTTAGACGAGGAATTGCGTCAAGCCGGCAGCGGCGACCTTGTCTGGCACAGAGGCGTTCAAGGAGCTAACGAAGGCGACGACCGTGCCTCTCAATTGCGGGTCGAGCGGCTCGCTCGCGTCGCCGAGAGTGTGAGCAAAGAGGCCGAGAATCGTGTCGATGTGCTGCATGGCGACTGGGTTGTTGGCTTGCAGCAAAGTGATGAGCATCTTGAAAACTGGCGTCCATTCCGCCATGTCCTCCTTGAGAGGCATGGACGAGAACAAGATAGGCAGAGCCTGATCTAAGGGCACAGCATCGGGCTTGCGAATGATCATCCTGGACAAGCAACCGCAGGCGTTGTCTCGCGCGTTGAGGATGTCTGAGCTCAGGAACGGGGGAGAGATTGCAGTCAGCATGAGTAAGGTCTTGACGGCAAGCGACAGCGCCTACTCACCCGTCTTGTCGGTACCAGCAGGCACCTCGAACATGGGCCGGATAGCATTCAAAAGCGCTCCGAAGTGTTCACTGAGGTCTTGCTCGGAGTGCTCAATGAGCACACCCGATGCGAATGCAGCGTTTGACCGTACGGCAGGTTCTTCGTCTTGCAGGGCCCTTGACAATGTAGTGAGAATGTCACCGGTGAGTGGCGTGATGGCGCCCTTCATACCAATGATGATCTCGCCGAGAGAAGCGACCGCAGCCCCACGATCAGTTGTAGAGCGCGAGGGTGACTGAGGACACCACACCGTTGTCAGATTTGGATTCAAGAAGCGCTGCTCATTGAAATGCTCGACTCACGTAGTACTTTGTGACCTTAGGCAGCAGGGCTCTCAGAGGGTCCAGGAAGTCTTGAGCAAATACGTGTGACATGGCGCCAACGAGATCCATTGCTGCGCCGATGAGAACGGACTCGTACTCCGAAATGTCTTCTGCGCCTGCCTCGTCTTCTGAAGGATCGTTGTCTATTTGCGCCAAGCTCTTCTGGTCAAGGATCTCGGCAGCAAAATTACAGACGCGGTCCGCGTGCTCTGAAAAATCGGCAAAAACCAAAGAGTCGGTTTAGACCTGACATCGAAGGTGTCCCTCACGCGCTGCACTCACGACTGATGATAGCTGGACCGTTCTTGTTCAGACATTCGGCCAATGATTGGCAGAACTCGATGGCAGTTGTTCTGCAGGCATGCGCAAGATCGTCGTCAGTAGCAGTACTTGGATAGAAAGCACTACTTGATCGAGACCCCCCATTCCCCATGACAACTCTCAGGCAAAGTGGGTAAGAATTTTGTGTTCACTCGGCGCGACCGCATCATGTGCGTGCAGCCGTCGTAGTGAGCTGAGATAATGTTTATCATCATTGTTGTAGCCCTTCATTGGCTCGCATTCATCCCGCAACTTCAGCCGCCGCAAGGATAGTCACTCACCTATCATCTTCGTCGTTCCAAGCATCCAGCAGTGCAGGAATCACAGTGTTGACGAGATTTTGCACGTCGCTGTTGAGAGGTACTTGCTGTAGGCAATCACACGCGCGAGATCAGCACGGCCGAGCGATCTAGCGTATCCCTCTGAAACTCACCACAGTGAGACCTGGCTGCCATGTTGAGGGGTTCGACATCTCGTTGAGAGTGTTGATGCAAGCGAACAATGCCGCGACGGCGCTCTTTCGAATGCCTTGGTAGAAGTGTTCAAGCAGATGACCGAGTTGTTCCACGCTCTCTTGGAGATAGGGAAGGAACGCGTGCTTGGTGTGCGTGAAAATCTCACCAATAGAGTCTGCTGCAACTTCTTTCTCAACCGCAATGGCGCTGTTGACGTTTGCGAAAGCGTCATTGAGGTCGTCGAGATCGATGAATTCTTCGTCGCCATCATCTTCAGTGGTGTACTCGCCAGAGGCGTTGGTACCGACGCCAGCGCCACTGATGATGCCATCCCCAGAGGCACCTGGCACTGCATCGTGCTCGCTCTGCTTGAAAGAGCCAAGGAGCAAGGGCGCGACGTGAGGCAGGAAGGGAGCAAACTCCTCGCCAAAGACACGGGCCATGACGGCGAAGAAGATGAAAGCGCATTCGCGAAGCCTGGGGTTCTCGAGCTTCATGCTCTCGAAGTTGTGGTTCATGAGATCCTGGAAGTACGGCCTGAAGGCTTCTTTGCCAACAGCCTCCGCAAAGGTGCCGATAGCGTCGGTGGTGATACCTCTCAGATCCATCTGATCACCCTCCTCGGTGAGAAGCAGGTGGGGCAGCATACGTTGAAGTGTCTGAGGGAAGTATGGCAAGAAGCCCTCCTTGGAAGCGTGCGCAGCAGACCCGATAGCGCCAGTGACTGTCGATTTGACGGGAATAGGTGCAGTCTCGAGCAAGCCTGCCAGTCGCTCCATGATAGCAGGCAGGTACTGGCTGATGTCCTCGCCCATCACTTCCAGCAGAGAATCGAGAGCAGTACATGCAGATCGTTGGGTCTCCTCGTGATTGATCAGCTCCATAATCATAGGCAGTAGCACTGCGTGTCGCTTGGCGCACTCGTCATCCAAGCTCTCGCAAAGGCAGCCGATTGCGACGCAAGCGGCTTTCCTGACCACCACCTCGGGATCGCGCAAGCCGGCTTCGATGAAAGGCCAAAGTTGATCGATATGGGGCCGAATGTATTCTGAGCAGCCCTCTACAGCAACGCCAAATGCCATGAGCGCAGCTTTTCTGTGATTGCCATCGGCGTGTCCCATGTATGCTTGCATCTGCTCGTGCAGAGGCGGGAATACTTGAGCGGGAGGGAGAGACGTCGACAGGCCATCAATGACGCGCAGGGCGAGACGGCTAGGTGTGTCCTCATCGTAGTCGTCGCCTTCATCCTCAACAGCGACAGTCATCAGGCGCTCAATGATGGGCTTTGCCAGCTTTTGGTTCTTGATGACGTTTTGCTTGTACTGACAAGCCCAGATGAGCGAGTTGAAGCACATTATTCTAAGATCCTCTTCGAGAGTGGTGTTGGCGCCGTTGTTCAAGAAGAACTCGATGAGGTCGGGGATAGCATTGGCGAGCACGGAGTCGTCCAGCATACACAAAGATTCGAAGACGTCTAGGCATTGCTTGACACCATCTGTGTGGGACTGCTCCAAGGAGTCGTGCAGCACGCGAACCATCTGAGGAATGGCGGCTTGCACTTGCGCGCGATCCGCCTCCGAGTCATCCTCAAGGTTTTGCGCTACTTTGCCCAAGGCGCTAAGAGGGGAAGTGCGAATCAACGCGTATGACTGTCAGGATCTCGTCGCCCTATCTATAAGCGGTTCAATCTTGGCTCACCGGACTGTGGTGATGCGGACCTCGATACTCTCGGGATCCTGAAGGCTTTTGGCAAATATTGCGAGAATTTGGGGCAGGTAAGCCTCCAACTTTTCTCCACCATCAACGAGCGTCTCGAGCACCGTATAAAAGACAAAGATCGCAATTTGACGATGCGATGCGTTAGGACTGTCTGCCGCCGCGAAAAGGAATGGGAGAAGCTCAGGCCAAGTGCCAGCGATGAGCTCTCTGTTGGCAATCTCGGACACAACACGTGAAATCGCATTCCTGACCAGGGTGCTGTTGGCAGCAGTCAAATAAGGAGACGCTGCGTGAGTGATGACTTTGCAAAATTGAAGTGTGGAGCTTGCAAAATTGGGCTCACCTCTCCTCCTTTGGCAACAGATCCAACAAGCGCGCCTTGATGCCAGTCCTCACGTCGACAGCTTGCTTGACCCACGCTGTTTCTGGCTTTTTGTGTATGCGCTTACGCATCTCGACAGCGGCGAGCTGACGGACCGCGAGGTCTGGGCTGGACGCTAGGATTTCAAAGAGCGCGGGCACGAACTGCTGCTGTGTGGACGCAGCTTTGATTCCCTCGGTAGCCTGCGTCAAGGACACAGATATTGCTATTCAGCATCGAGATCCTGCTTGTCGGCCTGTCAAAGGGATGTGCGGCCGGATGCTTACCTCTCGGAGTTGGTTGGTGTCTGGCACGTTCGACTGCTGAAGCAGCGCGTGCAGACGCTCGACGTACTGGGCCTACGATGGCGAGAGTGACAAGATGGCTGTAAGCGTCTAGCCGAGGAAGACAAGCGTCGTCGTGCGCTCTGCACTCACGTCCATCTTATCGATCTGTAGCACTGATTGACCACGTCGGAACTGGGTATATGAGGTGACGGGGACGTATCAGGGGAGGATTGATGATAGTGGAGCGTGATTCCACGCGCTGGCGTGGTGACGGGGGCGAAGAGACGTCTCAAAGTCGTAAAATGCTCCTCGAGAGAAAATAGGGAACAGTATGCGAAGGCTCTTGAATGTATGAAGAGTCTCGCAGGATGGGAGGCTGCTGTTTGTGGATGGGTAGTGTTGGCGAAGAAGGATGAGCATTCCTTAGTTGGTCAAATGTGCTTCTTCTCTTGACTGTTGTGAATTCTGCGACGTCTTTTGAAAAAAAAACTCACGACTGCTTTGGTGGCCGGGGGGCCTCTGTGTCCGCGCGCATGCTGCAAAGCCCTTGTGGCCCGCAAGTAATTTTTGCAGTCAAGTCCAACAGCAGCAGCAGCAGCAGCAGCAGCAGCAGCAGCAGCAGCAGCAGCA